ATCTCCTGCCCTATTTATGTCACTTTCACCAGTACTTAATTGGTTCTTCACTTTTAAAACTGCTTCCTTTAAGTTTTCCCCATAGATTTTGCATCCTTGCCTGTCCTGTTTTCTACAAATGATCCAGGGGGTTTTGCTGATAGATCAAATCTCTTATTGCATGAACCCCAAGGGGAATTCTTGGAAAGGAAATTGTTAGCTGATGGGTGTAGTCCCATGGCAGGCAGGCACTGCATCAGCTTCTCCTAGTTTCAAATGTAAAGGATTCTATCATAAAAACCTTCTGTGGCACTACTAAAATGATGCTCTAGAATCTCACTGCCCCCCTGAGTAAAAATATTTTTCTTAAAAATACATGTGTCAAGGCCAGTTTCTACAGAGAGTGGGAAATACCACTCGAAACTTCCAGAGAGTGAAAAAGCCATCAGAGTGAAACACCCAGTGCTTCATGCTATTAAAACTTATGAGCTGAGAGACTTCACTGCATGAGGAAAGTTTTAATGTTAGGAGTTACTGCAGCTGCTGGGATTCCATCCTGTAGCCTAACACAGCCTCTCATGCCCCAGTGCCTCAGGATCAACCCTGTGATACATTTACAATCATGGCAGCACGGTTTCAGATGTATGGCAGCAGGTTTCAGATGTATCACCCGTCTCTGAACAGTCATTTGTCCTTGTGCCACCTCTAGTGCTTAGGGTCAACAGAGATCTTCCTCTCTAGTGCTTTCAGCTGAAATATTCATGGGGACCAATCAAGCAGTGCACGAATACAAGAACAGGGGCATCGCTGGATTCAGATTCTCAACAGTTCTCTGCTGCACACAGATCCTCAGAATGTCTCAAAAATTTTACTTTTTTTTTTTTTTTTCACTAAATAAAGCCTTGGGAATCACTGGCGTGGTTCTGTTTACTCTTCTTTGTAGAGCAGCCATCAAGAGAAACTCGTATGTTACTGCTGAAGAGTTGTTGAGTCATCATATCACTTTAAGCCATTCTTCCATAGAACCATAGGATGGTTTGGGTTGGAAGGAACCTTAAAGATCATCTAGCTCCAACTCCCCTGGCCAAGGGCAGGGACACCTACTAGACCATGCTTCTTATGGCCCCATCCAGCCTGGCCTTGAACACTTCTGGGGACGGGGCACCTACAACTTATCTTGGCAAACTGTTCCCATTGGCTCACCACTCTCACACTAAAGACTTCCTAAAATCTAATCTAAATCTACCCCTTTTCAGTTTCCCCCTTGTCCAGTCACTACATGGCCTTGTATCAAGTTGCTCTCTGGCTTTCTTGTAGGTCTCTTTAGGAACTGGAAGGCGGCTGTATGGTCTCCTTAGACCCTTTTCTCCAGGCTGAACAGCCCCAACTCTCTGTCTGTCTTCATAGCAGAGGTGCTCCAGCCCCCTGATCATCTTCAGGGCCCTCCTCTGGACCCACTCCAACAGATCCACATCCTTCTTATGCTGGGGTCCCCTTGAGTTGGATGCAGCACTCCAGGTGGGGTCTGATGAGAGGAGGGGAGAAATCACCTCCCTCGACCTGCTTTGAGCAGAACCACCTCCCACACTGCTTTAGATGCTGCCTAGGCTGTGTGGCTGTTTTCCTTTCCCTGGGGGAACACTACAGAGCACACAAAAGCCTAATCAAAATATAGTGATAGTAATATTTTTGAGTACTTATGCTGAAAATGTCAAGAGCTACTTTTAAATAACTTTCAGAACAGTGACAACTGATCTCTGTTTTGCAGGGTTTTTGGTTTTTTTTCTTTTTTTTTCCAAAAGTTCTGCACACAACAGCTTGATAGCTGATCCTGACTGAGGAGGGGTCTGAGAGAAAGAAAAAAGGGGCTGGCAGCCCTTTGGAGGGCTCTTCATGCAGGACACACAGGCACCACCTGCAACGTTTATCTGCTCTCAGAGAGAATACCCTCGTTTTGGTGAAGAAATCGTTGGGTTGTTTTGGTGGGGTTTTCCCCCCTTTTGCTCAGGTATCGCTGACACCTGACGGAGTGCGGCGCATTCGGCGGCGGGGCCGAGGCGCGGTGCCGGGCGCGTCCCGCGGGCGGCGGCGCCGAGCGGATAGCGGCTCCCGCGGCGCGGGCAAGGGTTTCTCACGCTTCTATCCTCAGCGGGAAATAAACTCTTTTACTCCCCAGGAAATCCCGCGGCGGTGGGATGGGTCATCTGCACAGTGACAAACATTTTTAAAGTCCAGGGAGACAATCCGCTTGGAGCCTCCCGGGTGAGGAGAGGGGCTGCCGGGCCGTCCCGAGTGAAGCCGCGGCGGGAGGCGGGGAGGGGAGGGCAGAGGGAGGGCCGGGTGCCCGGTGGCCGCGGGGGCAGCAGCAGGCAGGGCGCTGGGCACGGCGCTGGGCACGGGCTCCCGGCGCCGCCCGCCCCGCCCCGCCGCTTCTGCCACAGCCCAGCCGGGTTTGGGGGCGCCTCTTCCCCCCGCTTGTACGACCTGTGCGCCGTCTGCGCCCGCACTCTTCCGAAGGAGTCGCTCCCGTGCTGCTTTACAAAGCCTTCCTCCCGCCAAGCGTAAGTAGAGCGGCCCTGGGCTGCGCCGCTCGTCCCCGGGCAGGGACGCGCCGCCGGCACCGGGACCGCGGGCACGCTGGGGGCGGGAGCCGGCCCGGGCCTCTGCCCGCTCGCCGTGTCCCCCGGCCGTGGGATGGGCGCCAGGGAAGGGCAGGGCGGGGCCGAGCCTGCTCGTCCTACTGAGGAGAAGTCGCGGCAGGGGCTCTGCTGCTCCGAGTACCTTCCTGAGGGACCCTGGCGCGAGTGTCCCTCTGTCCCTGCCCCACGGGGGGCCCGTCTGCAGGCAGCGGCGCTCGCAGATGGCACGGTAACTGAGCCTGGTGTGGCAGGGACAAGTGTCCAAACCTCACCGAGTACCTCAGAAGATGCAGTGGAGGACAAAGCAACAAATATTAACATCCAGGATGGTTGTGTAGGCACGTGTAATATCTTCCTTAAAAGTTGCCACTAACATGTGAACGCTCACGTACATTTCTAGCCAGTTGAGCACTTGGAGTAAATTTAAGTCTTAAATAAAGCAGAGCCAGAATTTCATTAAACCTTGTAAATGGTGCTGCACAGAATGATGGAGTTCACGAGCATAACCTGAGATGGTTTCTGAGTTCCTTGAGGAGAGGTCTGAGTTATCTGGCCCATACAAATATTTTCTACTCGTAGTGGGGAAAATGGCCAGGTGGCCTCCCTGCATGGACCAGACTGTTATTCACTCTGTTCACATCTTTGGTCCGAGGGTTACCAAAACATGTCAGTTATTCACTTGTTCAGAGAGGACTCCCAAGCGATGCAAAGTATTGAGATCAATAAATATTCTCAGGAAGGTATGAAGCTTGATGAAGCAAAAATTTGCCAGTGTTATAAGCAAAAAAGTTGTTTCATTTGTGTCTTTTTTTTCCTATAGGGAAAAAAATTTTGGGTTCGTTGGTGACTCACTGAAGAAATCATATAAGCTTGGCATGTTATTAGAAAGTGTGTTAGGTCTTTAAAACACTGACAGAGATACAAAGAATTAATTGAACTGAGTAGTCAGAGATACTAGAGGTATTTACTTCTTTTATTTAAAGGGAAATGAGAGAATCCTACTGGAACATTTTAGATTTAACTAGAAAAACTTTAAATTGTTTCCATAGTACAAAAGTGTACTTTGAGGAGTTTGAACAGGGTCTCCCTTGCAGTTACTTTAACTTGCCTGAAGTCCTCTCAGACAGATACTCAAATGTTGGAGTCCCTGCTTCTCTGCAGTGAAAAAGGGTCTTGAGTCTTTAGATGCCGGACAGGCTCATCTTTCCTTTGTATATCTGGGGCGGGGGGCGGGACACTCCTTACGGCGCAGTTTTTAGATCTGTGTGGCTGATGGCATGGGGGCACCTGACAGCTCTGTCTCATTCAAGCTTCACTCCCTCGGGATGTAGGACTGCTGCCCTCATGCTCCACGGCTGTTCTGCAGTCCCCTGGTAGCTCCACACCCTTCACACCTTTCAGCTTTACTGGTAAGTCACTCGTTTCCTTCCCGCGTAGAGCTCTGAGATGGCATTTGAGTATTCTGGGGGAGACAAGGGGTTGCTTTTTGTTCCTGTTTTTCTCCTGCAGATAATGAACCAGGGCAGGGGCTGCAGCAGGGAAGAGGGAGTTTAACAGGTGGGGTGTAGCTCTCCTCCTGTAGCTCTTCTCCTCAGCCCTGCACTCCTCGTGCTTTTCCTTTACTCAGGACAAACTTTCTCTCAGAGGTCAAGTGGAGTCAAGAAGAAATCTAAAGCAGTTTTCCCTGGGATTTAAGGAGGAGGCTCCATAGCAGTAAAGTAAGTTCAAGGTAATAACAAGATCAGTTAAGGAATTAATTTTTAACAAGTGCTTAAAATACAATGAGAGTGGTGATAGATGTGTCTGAAAGTATGACAGTGGGAGCATGAAGAAAGGTATTTTTCAAATCCTTGTTTGAACAAGTTTATAAAATGAACTGTGAAACCTCTATTGTGATTTATGAAACACTCACCATTGTGTTTCATATATATGTACGTGGCCAAATGCCATTAAGTTTCACTGGAACTTATAGTAGCTCATTCTGTCCCTGCACATATGCCAGTTTGTCTGGAACTACATGGTCATGCTGCAGATTTTCTGCAGAATGACTGCTTTTGTCTAATTTAAGTTAGCAGAGTTAAGAACCTGGTAGTGGTGGAGATTCCTGATTGTTTGGTGTAAAAATAAAGTAAATATTGCAGGTTGCTTTAACAGCTCTTTTTTTGTTTGTTTGTTTGGGTTTTTTTGGGTTTTTTTTTTTTTTTTGGTCATACTGCTTTATAAAATAGATGTAATTTTGAAGAAAAAATCTAAATCCCAAGTTTTTAGACTGTCACGAGAAATTAAAGGAAATGTGGGCTGAATTTGAATTTAAGAAATTGTATTCAGGCAAGGATATCTGTTAAGTTTCTAAATATTTGTTATGGGACATTTTTTTGGATATACCAATATAATGAAATCATCAATTCATCAAGTGTCATAATCTGGTAATGTATGTAGTATAGCTGTGTACTTATTTGTGTTTATATGTGTATATATAATTACATATATACATTTATACATTTATGTATTTGTACATTTATATGTACAAATACATAAACGTGCATGCTTGAGTAAATTTATGAATAATAAAATGTCAAATTTTGCACACCTAGTGCACAGAGTGATGAACCTCTTCAGTGACATCATCAGAAATAAAAATAACTGGAAAGTTTGTTGATGTCACAAATTATTCTTCTCCTGCAGAGGGATAGATGTGACATTGTAGCTTCTAAAATTTATTCTCGCTTGATTGTTCTCTTTGTTACATGCAAAGTGTGTTTGTGCATGTACTGAACTAGTAATTAATAACACAACATTGATTCTTAAATGCCGTGCCTGTTTTTATGAATGTCCATTTTTCAGTATGGTCTCAAAGGAATGATTTTATAAAACAAGAAATACAGTGCAACAAAAACCACCAAATAATACAAGACTCTTGCTTCTTGTTAAATGATATGAAGGTTCATGAAGTCCTTGCTTTTCATACTGTTGAATTAGATTGTTTTCTGAGACAGATTCTCTCTCATTCCCTTGTGGGTATTCATGGACATAATGAAATGCAGATAAAGATGTTTCATTTCATAATCTGCATTTTTTTTCCAAGCACAAAAAGAAAAAATGTCTCCTTTCACAATCCATATTGAAGATTAGGTCTTAAGAGTTGCCTGTCTCTGTAGCACTGAAAGTAATACTATACAGTTGAATTTTATGTAATACTATAAGAGCAAGCTTGGGATATTCTCAGCTAAAATATTGAGTTGTAGCCATTTAAATGTAAACATAGGTATTCTTGAACTCACAAGGGAAAAATCAAGTATTTTCTGAGCTTTGAACTTTCTGTTTTCATTTAATGTAATTTAATAATGATTTGTATCAAGACAACCCTTTGCAGTTGTTGATGTGATTTTTGGATGAGTTACATTGGCCTTAAGAATTGCTTACTGAAGAATATATTGACACTGAAAAAAGACACAGGACCTGGATTTCTGGGAACTCTCCAGTCAATGGAGATACGTAACTTTGCATTGCCCTTGGAAAAAATGTCTTTCCAGTATTTATGTACTATAGACAAGACACATTTGTGGTGAAGGCAACAGTTGCTGCAATTCATTCTAGGATGAGCACTGAGGTTTTTCACCTCTGTGCAGTTGAGGTGCTGTGAAGTATCTGCTCATGGCTTAAACACTTTCTCTTGGTGTGCAGGATGAATTTGCACACTCTAATACACAGTAATAAATATTTTAGCTAATGTAAGCACTAAAATAGCTTCTTTATGTGCATCCTCTGAGAAAAGTGTGTTGTGTCATGTCTTTGGTGTCCTGAATTCTCAGCCTGGGCTGACCTGTAGTAAAAAGAAAAAAAAAAAATCTTGAGTAGTATTAGTGATTGGAGAATGATTAAGTTAGATGGATTTATTATTTGTCATCTTTAAGTTCTAAAAATGTTTAATGTTCTTCTGTTAATCAATAGATAAATCCTCAGAGAAGCACAAAATGCCCTGTTTTCATTGTAGACATCATTGCCTGCTCATTACCTGAGCTGCCAATTTTGTTTTATCTGGATGGAAAATAAAGAGTGAGGCAGAGAGTGTCAAACTGACAGGCACAGAATAATGTAAAGAACAGCAGAGACAGGAAATATTTAACTTGGGTTTATGCTAAGCTTCTTTAATCCATCAAATATCACATTATTTATTTTGCTTTTCCTACATATTCCCACTCATAATGAGAGAATGCCTGAACAACAGTTTAGTTCTGTTCAAAGCTGGAACTAAACTGGGTATATCTTCAAATGATTTTGAGTAAAAAAAAAAAATGTATAAAATTAATTCATTACTGTTGTAAAAATTATTATTTGTCAAGATTAAAATTACTTAACCATCCAAAATATTTTAAACCTTATAACATTAAGATGGATGGTTAAATTTTAAAGTAAAATAAACATATTAAATTAAGACTATAAAAATACTATAAAAATTATTCAGCTTTGGGCTACTGTTTTAAGATGAGAAAAAAATATATTATTCAAAAAGAATCTGAATATATTTTTTAAAAAAATGTTTCAGGGAACATACGTTCACAAAATCAGTATGTTGTTGTTGGTGTCATCGTTTGTAGTTTATCATGTTACACTGGAAGAAGAATTCACTTATATTAAAAGGAATGCATTTTTGAAGAATAGCAAAGATGTGTTTTTAGGGGACATTTTTATTAAATTAACTTTGTGTGATGAAAAATGAGTTAGCATACCAGGATTTATAGAACTGCAAAATACTAATGGGTGTGTTGTTGCTTTTTGTGTGAAAGCATACTGCTCTGCAGTTATAGGTATTTTGTTGCTTCACAGCAAAATCCAATTATAAAAAATACCTTAAATAAATTTATTTTCTTTCCTTGCATAACTAAAAACCTGAAAGAAGTTTAGGATAGACTTTGGAAATGCTTCTTCTGGAAAACCAGTGACATAATTGCTGGAAATTACATTCATATAATGATGAGAATAGTACACTTCTTTAGTGGTAAATTCCTAGCTCTAGCGATGAACAACGTTTTTTTTTCTCAGGAATTGTAAGACACCCAGGTGTTTGGATAAGAATTATAAGCATAGCAAGATGTAATCAAGTTATATATGATAATATTCTAAGATTTTTAAACAAGAAGATAATCACTATTCTGGTAGGGTTGGGGTTTTTTTGTATGCAAATTGTTAAATCTGAATTACAATTATGATACAAGTATTTCTGAAGGTATTGAAGTTAGCTGAAAGCAAATTTTTAAATTTTGTTTTTAGTTGAAGGTTGACATATAAAATACAGAAGTGAGTTTATTAGGGAAATGAATTGTACTTATATATATTCCAGTATTCTTACATATAATCCAGTTAGGAACAGGCCAAGGATAAGAGAAGTGATACCAGGAGGTTTCTCTTTTTTCTCAATTGGAGGAAGCTTGTGAGGAATCTGATATTAAAAAAAATCTCGCACTTTAAGTCTTTCCAAATCAGCAATTGTGTCTCTGCCTAGAATTGGACTTGGGATGCCCATCATGCATGAATTGGTGGAAACTGCTGAGAATATATGCCTGTTGTTTGTCACAGAAATAAGGTCATAGGATGTAATTCTGTTTTTTTCCAAGAAAATCTCTGTATTATAGTTGCTGAAGTGACCTTGAGTTTGTTGTTTTTTGTTTTGTTTTGTTTTGTTTTAATGATGTTGCAGTAGGTATGGTTCAGTAACACAAACTGCCAGTACAGTAGGGGAAATAGCAGAGAAACCTTTTCACCATTCCTTGCAGAATTTCTCATTCTTCCCAATATTTCAAGTTACTAAAATGTCTGGGTTTTTTATAAATAAACAAATTCAAACATGATTAGGCTTTGAGAATGTGCTTGTTGAGTTGCACAAATTCCAAAATTCAACTGTAAATTCCATAGGTTTTGAGTAATTATTTTTCTGTGTTTGTACAGTTTGAAAATAGCAGAGACCTATTACTAACTTTCTAATTGCTGGAGTAAATATGTTCTGATAACAATAAAATTATTAGAGTTAGGCAAACTTTGCATCACATTCTGGATACAAGTGCATTTGCATTAATAGTAGCATTATTCTGTTTAATTAATCTGATTTCTACTTGTTCTTTTCTAAATAAAAGCAGGAGCAGATAGAGCCATCTCAGACAAAGGAAACAGAAATAATGCTTTTAAAAACATTTAAATTTTGTAGAAAATCTAACTTACAAATCCTTCTTGCCAGTTGTATATAGGCCTGTGTGGGCTCTGTGAGATCATTTTAAACATGTCCCTTCTGTGCTTACCAAAGCCCGTGGTTGCGTGGTCCCAGGGTTCTTAAAGTATGTGTGCAGTATTCTGCAGAAGCAAGATAAGAAATATGATTTGTCAAGGATCAATCTGTTCTGCTTCAGCATTGTGCAATTGCAAGATGTTTTAACATTGCTCTAATTGCTCTGATGTTCTTGTTGTAGGTTAGAAATCTGAAGCAATGGGCGACTGGAGCTTTCTGGGGAGACTGTTAGAGAACGCGCAGGAGCACTCCACGGTTATTGGCAAGGTTTGGCTGACGGTACTGTTTATCTTCAGGATCCTGGTGCTAGGGGCTGCTGCTGAGGAGGTCTGGGGAGACGAGCAGTCGGACTTTACGTGCAACACTCAGCAACCTGGTTGCGAAAATGTTTGCTATGACAAAGCCTTCCCCATTTCTCACATCCGCTTCTGGGTGCTGCAGATCATTTTTGTCTCCACTCCGACCCTCATCTACCTGGGCCATGTCCTGCACATTGTACGCATGGAGGAGAAGAGGAAAGAGAAAGAGGAGCTGAAAAAGAAGGGAAACAGCAAAGATGGCAACTACCCAGTAGCAGCAGCATCTGGCAGCGGTGGTGGAGGAGGCAGCAATAACGTCAAAGATCAATCTATTGTCAAAAGGGGGAAGGAGAAGCTCCCAATCCGTGACGAACGTGGTAGAATCCGTATGGGGGGTGCCTTGCTCCGTACCTATGTCTTCAATATCATATTCAAGACACTGTTCGAGGTGGGCTTCATTGTGGGCCAGTACTTCCTATATGGCTTCGAGCTAAAGCCAGTCTACCAGTGCAGCCGCTCACCTTGTCCACACACTGTGGACTGCTTCATCTCGAGGCCCACTGAGAAAACAATCTTCATCATCTTCATGTTGGTGGTGGCCTCAGTCTCCCTGCTGCTGAACATGCTTGAGATATATCACTTGGGGTGGAAGAAGCTTAAGCAGGGCATGACGAGCCAGTACATCCTAGAGATGCCTGTGGCAACAATGACACCAGTTATGGTAACAGGGGAGTCCAAACCTGTTTCCCTGCCGCCGCCAGCACTACCAGTGGTGGTCACCACTGCCACACCGGCCCCTGTTCTGCCTGACACCCGCGCTGTCACACCGCTGCTGGCCCCAGTGACCATGGCATCGTACTATGCTACAGCTGCTCCAAGACCACGGCCCCCCTCCAACACGACGTCCATGGCAAGCTGCCCTACTGCTCCACAAGTTCCTGAGGAGAGGCACCATGCTGTGACTCCCACGCCCATCTCGACTCCCGTCACCATCCCGACCCCCATCCCCACGCCCACGCCGGCCGTCATCAACTACTTCAACAGCAGCAGCCGTGCCCTGACATCCGAGCAGAACTGGGTCAACGTGGCAGCTGAGCACCAGGGGAAGGTTTCCTCCAGCTCAGCAGGCTCCTCTACCCCCAGCAGCATCCGGCATCCCCTTCCTGAGCAGGAAGAGCCACCGGAGCAGCTACTCCCACCCCCGGCTGTGCTGCCCATTGCCGCAGCCAACAGCGGCAGCAGCACCAGCCTGAGCGGGGCGAGCGGCAGCAAGTGGGATGTGGAGGGCGAGGTGGAGCTGTCGAGGGCACGGCCCGTCTCGGCGGCCTGCACCACGGTGGAGATGCACGAGCCACCGCTGCTCGTAGACGCGCGGCGCCTGAGCAGGGCCAGTAAGTCGAGCAGCTGCAGAGCCCGGTCAGATGACCTGGCCGTGTAGTGCGGTTGCCCCTGCTCAGGGAGCAGGTGGTGGAAGGCGGAGTGGGCAGGGGAGCTGCCTGGGGAGGCCAGGCCTGGCGTGGGTGAGGAGGCCTGGGCTTCAAACTTAGACGCTTGCTGTTTTTGCACTCTGTGAGTTGTAGTGGGGAAAATTATCAACATTTTCTAATAGGTCAGGGGTGACTGAAGCGCAGCCCATGGGCCAGGGGACCAGTCCCACTTTCCTTCATGTTCACAGCAGATCCCTCAAGGGCAGCCATAGGGGAGGCCTGCAGAGATAACAGGTGGTGATGGTAGCTGGTCATGTGCCCTGAGGCTGACTTTCCTCTGAGAAAAATGTTAATATCCCTGGTGCCCGTGCACCTAGCTGTCATCTCCTTCTTGCCCTTGCCTTCACTTCAGCTCTTTCCCAGAAACTCTACATGAGCAGATGAAGTGACTTACTTTCTTCCTCTTAAATCTTGCGTAGCCCTATGGCAAACATCAGGGTGGTATATTGCCTCTTGGCACCTGTTGTGTCTACAGACCAACTTGCCATATTAAAGGTAACTCAGTTTCTTCCATATAACATGCCTTATGAACCCTTTGTGTTCATGGCAAGTCACCGATGCGGTCCTTGGCCAGGCAAAGTTTAGGGAACCCCTGGAATAGATTTTTGAGGTTCTTCTTTCCATAATTTTTTTGTTTTACTCTTGACCTCTTAGGAAGTGTTCAGTTTGACCTTCTATCCAGTGTTTGCCAGCCATGATCATACCATGTTTATAAGCCTGCAAATATGTTTGAGCATGTTTGACTATAATTTTAGCTGACTTCTAAAATTGCTTACAGGAGGACAGGAATTCAAACCACACCTCGGAAATTATTACACAGAACAATTTCTCCAGAAAGCAAGGATTATGATTTCAATACACTGTGGCTCCATACATTGCCCATGGACAAACAATTAGGATAAAGTACAGCTCTGCATTTTAGACTAATAGATATCAGCATAAGTTTGTTGGAAAAATGCTTTTTAGAAGTAAACTTGAGTGCTTATTTTTAGGTATTTGAACATTTTGAGAATAAACTGTAGGTTTAAAATTACTTGACTGTGTACTTAATAATTTTAGTTTGATCTTTGATCTTACAAAAAAATGTAAGAGGAAAAAAACTTACTAATGGTGAAATTCCCAAATGAACATTATTTCCTGTTGTGTACCCTTTAACATCAATCTGTAGTGTCTTTAGGTCAGTGAAAACAGACTTAGATAATATTGTATTGCAGAAAAAGTGGCTAAAATATCAGGGCAATGTGGTGGCTGAAGGGTCTGAAGCAAACTGAAGTCACTTTCAGAATTTCCATTCAATTTAACAAGGAGCAAGATTTGGGAATGTATCTTGCAGGCCTTATTCAAGCAAGACTAACACTCACATGTAGTTTTGGGAGCCAGAAGAAATTTAGATTTTGGGCCTTAGAAAAGACATGAAATCCTGCTTTTGAAAAATGTGTGTGTCCCTTAAAAATGGGTGAAGGAAAGTACTAGGGTTTTTTGTCTAAGGTGCATCTTTCCTTTCAACAGGCTCTGTCCTTTATTCCCTCCTAAACAAGATGTTAGAATTCTGCGTGCCTGAATAGGCTCAGGAGAGTTTCAATACAAAAGGAACACAGAATTAAGCCAGCTTCTGTTCTAAACAAAATCCAAAAGAACTAAAGCTTGGAGTCAGTCCTGTTGCTGCTATAAACTGGACGTACTGTAACTGGAAAAGAGCCATCAAACACACTGGAATAACCCTTTGCATCTTCAAAGTGTTTGGCCTGGCAGTGCAGTCCTTACTCAGGCAAAGCAGGGTCAACCTGTAGCAAGTAGTTAACATTACCAGTTATTTCTGCTGTTAAATGTTTTCCTGAGTGTGCTTATTTTATTCAACAGTAAAAATATATTCCCAAGATTAAACAAGATTAAAATACATTCAAAAGATTGAATATTTTTGCTGCTTTTTGAGTAGTCACAAAGGGCTTCTCATGATGAGCAGCACTGTTCTGCAATCCTTGGGCATGTTGTCTCATGACTTCCTTGTCCTGCTTGTGTTAAACCAGGTGAGGAAAAGTCCTGCTGCTGCCATGGATCTTAAGGGCAGCTGCTGCATTAAAAGTCGATATGTAGTAGTACAATAAAGATATTTATTATTAAGTATTCAGCTTCAGGCATGCTCTCATGGATTTTCTGTGTTATAAGCCATAAAACCCTTTCTGCAAGAAAACTAAAAGCCAAGTTCTGCTTTCTATTGAATCCATGCAACTATGTTAAACGTAGACTAAAGCTGATGAAGTTGCCTAGATGTAAACAAAGGCAGAGATTAAGATTCAAAATTTTAAGATTTACTAGCATATATAGTAGCAGTTTTGTAAGTTTTGATATATGCTAGTTAACTATATTGCTGAAATAATGCAATATGTGCATCTCTCTGTTTTAGTACATTGGAGTTTATGGGCTACATTTTCCTTTGTTCTGTGCTTCTGAAGAATGAAGTCAAAGTCTTTCTGGAATGTATTTATATAAACCAGACCACCTGGAATGTGTGCTTTTTTATATCACTTTCTGAGAGCAAAACTGATGATGTTTGATGGGGCTCTGCATCTTGCAGCCCTTACTTGAATACTACCCTCACAGAGTGTGTCCTGCAGGATTGCATCCATATTGTATATAAAAAATAGTAAGAGAGATAGATTTAACTTAGGGTCAACTGAGACCTGGGCTGACCTTTTCAAGTTAATGTGTGTGGTTAGACCTGCAGAAAGTTCAGATGCTTTTGTGGAATATATGGTGTTTTCAGCCAGAGTAACTACTGGAAAGATCTAAAAGATGGTTTTTCCTGTTAGGTGAAGCTCGGGGGGAGAAATGTAACTCTATTGCAATCCCTAAGAGAAGTCTGAGAGAGCAGCCTCTGCATCCAGGCAGTCCTGGTCTGAGAAAGCAAAGCTACAGCTCACAGGTTGCGCTTTTAAGATCAGCTTAAGTTCCATCACTTAACTATGCAGCGTCAAGCCTCTTCATTGCCTGCAGTTTCATGTGGAGTCCAGTAACTGTTTCTTCATTTAAGCCCAGGTAACTGTTTTGGCAGAACTCCTCCTTAGCGCTTACAACTGCTTGCCGCATCACATCTGGATTCGGATTTGTTGGAAGAAAAATCTTACTGGTGTGGCCGATTTTGAGGACTTTAATCTTTACTCATGAATGACCACTGAATTCAGCATCCTGTGAGTCAAGTGCTGAATTCTGTGCAGAATTTTGCAGTTCTAGAAAATACGTACGAACACCCACTGACTTGCAGAATAGAGTCTTTTGGCAAAGATGATCTGCTAATTTCTAAGTCGTTGATTCTTTCCTGTCAATTAATGACAAAATTTCATGGGAACTGATAGTAGGTGATATCCTGATTTAGCCTGGTCATGTGGCTGTTCAAGCCACAATTTTGAAAGACCTCAAGTGCTAAGATGAAACCTGTAGGTAAGTTATCAAAAAGCAGAACAGAATCATGCCTGGTATTAAGCAGACGGAAAAAAAAAAAAAAAACCCCACCCTAATTTTTGCTCTTTGAGAAGAATAATTTTGGGAAAACTTGTTCTCCCTCTTACTTGAAGTTGAAAAATGTGCTGAGGTGAAGTATGGAAACTGAGAAACAAGTTACCAGGTGTATGATGTACTACTCTTTTTGCAGTATATTTGTTGTTCAACAAGGCACTCAGAGCTAATTAAATGTCTGACATTATGCAGCTCTTAAGATTATTTTATGGTATGAATACGTAGGTGTAGGATCAGTAAAATAATAAAAGCAAGCTTTAAAAATCAGATCATTATTTAGGTCCTTTTTTTGGTTAGTCATGGGACCACCTCCTCAGCTGCTCCAAACTTGTATTCCACTGAGTTCATGTGGGTGACAGCAGTCTGCAGGAGCAGAGTGTTGAGCTCCCAGGTATTTTAATTTTATACAGACACTAACACCATGGATTTGAACAGACTGGGTTTTTGTTTTAAATTCCAAATGTTTTACTTTGATTCTTCTTCTGAAAATTGTGCTCTTGTAGTTTTGATTTTCTGAAGTTTTACATTCAGTTTTTGATTTCAGATTGCACATTTGGATGAAATAAACTGCTTTCTAAGTTTACATTTGTAGAAGAAGTAAAAGAATGACTCTGCCAATGTGTTAAACGTGAGAGAAATGTCTTACTATAACACAGGAACTCTTCAGACATAAGGCAGTACCATGAAATTTAACCTGATCACTGATGCATAGTATCAGCTTTCTCTGTGTAATTAAAATATGGGCCTTGGATATATAGGGAGCACACCATGGAAAAAATATTTTTCATCATGAATTCAATTATTGCCAAGTAAACTAAGGTTCACTGTTGTTCATAGGCTTTCCTGTGTGTTTAGAGCTGCAATGACAAAAATTAGGTGTGACACATGTCCTTTATGAGCTAAATTTACAGCCTGGTTTAAAATTCCAAACAAAGTACTCATGAATAAACACTGCATTGTTACACTGTAGAAGATTTTATAAAAAATAAATGAAATTTTTTGCTTTCTAGGCAAAAATATGGTTCTGAGCCTGCAAATACAATTTCATGCAAGTTATTTTAACTTCTGCAAATAAGACCATTAAAGGCAGTGGGAGTATTTGCATAAACTAAAACCACTCATGTATTAAAGAAATCGTAGATTTGCATTTTAAGTTTGCTGTAAGATGCCAATCTAATTCTAGAGTTTTCAGTTTTTGAAGAGTTATGCAAGATGTATGAGCATATTTTAAGGTGGAGAGTACATTGCTATTTGCATTGCCACTGTTTCTCACAGTTAAAGGGTTCTAAAGCATAAGAAAGCTTACTCAGAACTTGCTTGTTGCTTTCCAGATGTTTGTCTTTTACATGACAGAATCTAACAAGAAACAGCAAGTTTTCTAGGCAGTCAGGAACTTGCAGTAACAATAAAACCAGCGAACAGTACTGTCTTCAGAGAA